CTCCTACCCCAGTAAAATTTAGAGCGCAAGTAGCTATGTAAGAAACGTGTTTCTTAGCATCTTAAGATTAGAATTATATTAAACGAGCCAACCCGCAGCGTATCATACGCCGCTATTTAGTTGTTTTATTTTCTACTTTTCAGTAATTCATAATTTGTGAATTCGACAGTACCAATGCTGCACTGAAAATATTTGCTTTAAAACACTAACCCCCCCTTTCCCCTAACCCCGACCCTACACCCCCCCCCCCCCCACCCTGAAAGCAGCCTCCTCTTAGTTATTTCTTAGTTACCTCCTGTAAGTTTAAAATCGAACTAAATTATCTGCCCCTAATAGAAACCCGGCTCTACGGCTCTACGATTTGTAAAATTTAGCTTTGTAAACATTTAGAGTGAACACCGCTCACCAGATAATGTGGCGGTGGGGTGGGGTGGTAGTGATAGTGATAGAGAGAAAGAGAGGGGACTGCAAGGAGGCGCTTGCAGCTTGTTTTCTAACGGCTCCCAGAAGAGAATTATATATATAGATAGTATATCCATTCGATTTAGACTACCCTATTTTCGGAATAATGAGGTATATTTAACGACAAAATTTCCAATAGCCTTCAACAAAAAACGTACATACAGTTTTTATTTTAATTATTTAGAATAATTTATAAATTTAATTAAATACATTATTGAGGATTTTTGTTTCGTATAAAAAATAAATAAATACATATTTAAATTTTATTTCCATGATATATTTCAATAATGTTCTAAAAAAAAAATTGTTGTGTTAAAACATCATCGATGGTTCGTTAAGAACACAATCACATAAACAAACCTGTAAGAACGGCCCGACATTTTTCCCAAACATCTGAATGATCTTCAGGTTGGCCAGACAATCCAGACAACCCATGCACCAACCCATGACGATGAGGACGAAGATGAGAGAGCCCAGGTTGCTACAGGCAGGGATGACAAACATGGCCAGGGACACCCCCACGGCACCAATCAGCATCAGGCTGTGGGACGGGATCCTGTGGGTAGACAGGCAATATGCCAGAGTTAGTGGATATTGAACAGACATTTAGAATTAGAGTACATCATTTAAAGAGACGGCACCAATCAGAGTTCCTTCAGGCATCTCTTCGGGGGGGCAAAGCCCCCCGAAAAAATTTTTACCGCCCCCCCCCCCCCGAACGAAATGAAATTTAGATAATTTATATAGAAAATATATACTTTTAACAGTGTCCGCCCCCCCCCGAAGAAAGTTTACCGCCCCCCCCCCCCGAAAATTTCAAGTGCCCCCCCCCCCCGGAGAAAAAAGTCTGGAAGAAACACTGGCACCGATGTGTCTTGGTCACAGAAAGGAAAAGCTGCTCGTTATTTTAGAGTTAACAGATACTAAATAGAGGAGATGAGAATATAGTTTATAGCTATTGTCGTAATGTGAACATTATATATATATTTATATATATATATATATATATATATATATATATATATTTATATATATATATATATATATATATATATATATATATATATATATATATATATATATATATATATATATATATATATATATATATATATATATGTATATATATATATATGTAATATATATATATATATATATATGTATATATATATATATATATATATATATATATATATATATATATATATATATATATATATATATATACGAGAAAAATGGCCCGTTGAGGAAGGGTACAACGGGCGCTAGGCTGATAGTGCTGTCTCTTTTCTCTAAACTAAAACCAACCCACCCCCCCACACACCCCCCCCACCCCACCCCCACACACCACCCCCACCCCCCACCCCCCACCACACACCACCCCCACCCCCACCCCTCACCCCCACACACCACCCCCTCCACACACCGCCCCCCCCACCCCCACCCCCCCAAAAAAAACATGTCTACCGTCCCATTCAACGAAATATCATTATATACTTTTTCCAGTGTCCGCCCCCTCCCAGAAAATTCTACCCCCGCCCCCGAAAATTTCAAGTACCCCCACCCCTCTCCGGGGAGGAAAAAGTCTGAAAGAAACACTGAAACCAACCCACCCCCCCCATACACCACCCCCACCTCCCCCACACACCACCCCCAGCCCCCCCCCCCACACACCACCCCCCCCCCCCCCCACACCACCCCTCCCCACCCCTCCACCACCCCCCACCCCCAAAAAAAACATGTCTACCGTCCCATTCAACGAAATATAATTATATACTTTTTCCAGTGTCCGCCCCCTCCCAGAAAATTCTACCCCCGCCCCCGAAAATTTCAAGTACCCCCACCCCTCTCCGGGGAGGAAAAAGTCTGAAAGAAACACTGAAACCAACCCACCCCCCCACACCACCCCCCACCCCCCACCCCCCACCCCCCACCCCCCCACCCCCCCCACCCCCACACACCACCCCCCCCCCCACCCCCCCCCCCCCCTCCCCCCCCCCCCCCCCCCCCCCCCAAAAAAAAAAACATGTCTACCGTC